CTATCCAACAAGATGCAGTTCAGTGGAGAGAAAAGTAAGGTCCTGCACTTAGGCAGGAAAAGCCAGATGCACAGGTACAGGAAGGGCAGTACCTGGCTCAACAGTAGTGCCTATGAGAGGGATCTAGGTGTCCCAGTGGACCACCACTTAAGTATGAGTCAGCAGTGTGCTGGAGCTGCCAAAAAAGCCAACACGGTCCTGGGCTGCATCAACAGAGGAATAGTATCAAGATCAAGGGAAGTGATAGTACTGCTCTACACTGCTCTGGTGAGGCCACATTTGGAATACTGCAATCAGTTCTGGTCACAATACAAAAAAGATGCTAAGGCCCTAGAAAGAGTACAAAGAAGAGCAACAAAGATGATAAGGGATCTGGAGGCTAAATCCTATGAAGAATGGCTAAAGGAACTAGGTATGTTTAGCTTAACGATGAGAAAATGAGGGGAGACATGATAGCAGTTTTCCAATACTTGAAGGGCTGCCACAGGGAAGAGGGCATCAATTTATTCTCCATAGCACCTGAAGGTAGGACAAGAAGCAACAGGTGGAAGCTCGTCAGAGGGAGATTCAACCTGGAAATAAGGAGGAATTTCCTGACAGTGAGAATTGTCAAGCAGTGGAACAGCTTGCCTCCCAGAGTTGCGGGTGCTCCATCACTGGAAGTATTCAAGAAAAGATTGGACAACTTGGTACGAGGACTCCTGCCTTGAGCAGGGGGCTGGACTAGAAGACTTCCAAGGTCCCTTCCAACACTATGATTCTATGATAAGTGTGTGCGGAGGCCTAAAAAACAGCTGCTGAACTTAGTGAAAATTTCACATTCTGCAAAAACAATGAAAATAGGAGTTCCCATCAAATATATTACTTGTGTGAAATTCCTAATGATGTCACTATGGAAAGGCCATGGCCTGTGTATTAAAAAAATCCAAAATGCTGCATATTATTTTTGATGTAAACTGTTCTGTTCTAAAGTTCCAGTAGAAGCCAAACATTGGCTTCTACTGGAACAGAGCACTGGAACAATCTGGCCAGAAGTTTGTCAGCAGATCACCAGACAGCATTCCATAAATGGAAAGAGCTAGAGATGAGACCAAGCCCTCTAAAAAAAATGATGCTAATAGAATCTAGTGAACGTGTCCCTGCAATGATGACTGTCAGAAAACATTTTCTAAAATTTATTTACACTGATATTACAGTGCTGAAAGGAAAGGAATGCAAGAAGTTTTGCCTTTTGGATCTTTTATGTTAACAGATAATTTCACTGACCTACTTCCTGTACTGCCATAATGAGGTGGAATAGCACATCAGTCCAAAAGGTAGAGGATAAGATGTAGTAGTAGTGATTTTGGTCATCCTTGCGTGTTCAAGTGTCATAATGAAGTTGAATAGTCAGTGATTATCCACATTACATGACCGGTCAGCCAAATGAAAATGCACTGGGCCTTGAATATGGCCAAGAGTTCTAGCTGGTTCTTGTGGAGCTTCCATACAGTTCCAGTGTTCTTGAATTTTAAGATCCTGATAGTGAGCTCATATCCCATAGTATAGGTATCCAGAGTCAGGACAATGGATAAGGAGTGAGGAAAGACTGTCCACTCAATATATTTTTGGGATTCATCCACCACATTAGAGATATGGTAACTTACTAGAAAAGAGGGTGACAAAGCCCTCAAATGCAAGGCAGAACCAATGCAGAGGTGAGAAGTCACGCCTGGAAGATTCCTATCTGAAGTCTTGGCAAAGACTGTAGTGGTTGATGCCATATGATTCGGTAAAGGACAAAAAATGTTTGGACCAGGCAATCACAGTATACATTTAGTATCAGGTATCCAATGGATCTGAAGCAGTTTCTAGTATGTATTCAACCTTTCTGGTGTGATCAAGATGATTGTTGATGACTGGATTGCTGACTCAATGAGAGATGCAATTTCTCAAAATTTACCTAGATACCAAAAACAGAGAGCAAGGAGAGCGTGCTGTGAACATGATTGGCTAACTCCGTCTTAGACTGTGTGATCAATAACTAGTTTTTCAAAGAAGAATAAATGGTAATATCTTCTAAGCATAAATGGGATACCACAACCATCAAGAATACAGTAGAAACCCATGATGACATTGTGAGGCCAAAAGGGAGGACTCAAAATAGGCACAGGATAGCACCACTCAGAATAAAGATACTGACAATGTTTAATACAATGAAAATGGGAAAGTATCAGTTAAGTCAACAGCTACTGAAGAGTAGAGGAAGAATGCGATAAACAGAGATGTCAACCTGGTATCAAAAGATTTGGAGTCATCTTTATCTCTGGTTGCTGTAATCATCCGTTGCCAGGTTGACTACCTAAATTCTCTCTAAGATTTATAAGGTTTCTTCTTTGCAATTATCTCTAAATAAGGGGTTTGAGTTGAATCTTGTCTGTGGACCTGATAGGTGGCAACCATCTCTTTCCTAGCTCTCAAACCATCTCAATCAAGCCACTGTTTTAATTTTAGTTTGTGGGGTTTTGTATTGCGTGTATAGCAGAGCTTGCCCACAAATATTATTTAGGTTCTGATAGCGGCCAAGTAATTTTTTACCTGAAGAATTCATAATAATTGTTGAGTGAGCCTAAAGTAGCTGATCAGAGTTTAAAAGCTTGGCCAGAGGTAGGTTCATTTTAGATGGCCTGATATCTGGATTGGCCAATATTGGGAAACATTTTCTACAAATCCTTTTTCGACAGGCGGATGTAGACCATCAAGGGAGCCGGTTATCTTGAGGTATGTCACATTTCTTAAAACGCCTCTCAAAACTGTGATGTAGTTGATTGTACTTAAATTAGATCTGCTCTAAAAAGAAAATTTCCTGGGCCTGTCCCCATCAATGGCACCATTTAATATTGGTACACTGTGCCACACTTTTTCTTTTTAAGGTATTAGTATACAGTTTACTTCAGAAGTGGATTAATATTATACTTTTCTATGTACGGTCCTAACATTCATATAATTAATTTTAATCTCTATTTCTTATTTCTCTGTTGAAACCATTTCAAGTTGGTCAAAGACTGTAATAAAGATTTGAATTTGAGTTTGAATTCATGTGTTTTGATGGTTAATAACATTAAGTTAAACTGATTAATTAATTATATTAATTGCAAATTTACCTTTTTTGAAATCCTCCAAAGCTTGTTCACGATCACACTGTTCTCTATTGCCATGCAAAGACTGAACTGGAATTCCCTGAAGGCCAAAATCACTTGAAAGATCATCAGCACTTTTGAGAAAAATTAAAAGCAAAGCCAATACATAGACGAATGTTTTTCAATCCAATTAATATATCAAGAAATATTTATAGATTACTTAGAATAAACACTCAAACTTATATCTAGTACTGCATATTCCAGATGACTCATTTAATTCCCTAAACATTCATAATCTAATGTTAAATTTTAATTGTTGTATTAATTTATTCAAATGACTTCTGCATATTTTTAAAAAATCATCAGATAGATATCCCAAATATATACAGTAATACCTCGGTTCACAAACGCTTCTGTTCATGAACAATTTGGTTCACAAACAGCAGCGTTCACAAAATTTTGCTTCCATTCATGAACTCCGCATCGGGTGACAAACGCGACCCGCGGCCATCTTCCCTGCTCTGACACGTGGTTGTGGCTTCCTGTAGGCGAGATCACGGTCGCAGACAGACACTTGCTG